CGGAGGATAAGCCCCGAACTTAAAACCAACATCAATATAAATCAGGTTATAAGTCGGGTAACTATAAATTATAACCCATATTTGGGGACTTATAACCATACTTATATCTACCCAGGAACCTCCAATGTGCACGGCGCAAGCTGAGCCCTGACTCTCCAGCAGAGTTTGAGGCGACCTGCAACACGCTCTTGTCCTTCATTCCCGCAAAACGACGTCATCATTCGCCCTTGACCTCAAACAAGTAATCTATGAATCTATGACATCAACAGCGTCTAGCTGTGACTAGCTGCTCAAAGTTCAAACGACGTCATCATTCGCCCTTGACCTCAAACAAGTAATCTATGAATCTATGACATCAACAGCATCTAGCTGTGACTAGCTGCTCAAAGTTCAAACATTAGCCACGAAATCCAAGAAAGGATGAAGAAGTCCGAATCCTTGTTTACCCTTCATACCTGCATTGCGCAATGTGCCAGCCAGAGCCTTATCCAGCGATTCTGGGTAATGCACCCGCCCTATATGTTAGACTTCAGAGCCCTCAACACCACAGCTTCTTGAAAACCGGAACTCGTTTTACAAGGACAGCCCCCTAATTTCATTTCATTCTTGGTAACCCCCATCCATAGTATATAATCCCTCATGGTAGTCCTTTATTTCCCCTGGACAGGCCCAGGTTGTGAAGTATCGCGATCGGGCCTCCGGCAAGTTGGTCGAAGCTCGTGGCTTTGGCTTTCTTGGAGCCTTCGGGCCGTTTTCACTCTGCATAAGGAGCCTTGTTGCACAAGTAGTGTCCACATGCGCATCTCTCTCCCTCCCGTTCAGTATCCATACATGTATATGTGTATATTATGAATGCATCTGTATAGGTATATATACCATATACTTATTATAATATATATATATATATCTACATACATATAAATGTATATAATGCATAGATTTGTGTATGTGTGTATCCGTCCATCCATCTATCCATCCATCTATCAATCCATCCATCTATCTATCTATCTATCTATCTATCTGTCTATCCAGCTATCTCTCTATCTATCTATCTATCTATCTATCTATCTATCTATCTAATCTATCTAATCTATCTACCTATCTATCTATTTATCTATCTATCTATCTATCTATCCATCTATCTATCTATCTAATCCATCTATCTAATCTATCTATCTATCTGTCTATCTATCTATCTACCTATCTATCTATCTATCTATCTATCTATTTGTCTATCTTTCTTTCTACTTATCTATCTACCATCTATCTATCATCTATATATCTATCCTTCTATCTATCTACCTATCTATCGATCTATCTATATCTATTGAAATCTAATTTAGTCTAAGCTATTCTAATCTGTTCTAACCTGTTCTAACCTTTTCTACTCTAATCGAATCTAATGTTGTCTTGGTCTGTCTATGTGTGTGTCTGTCTATCTGTCTATCTATCTGTCTATCTACCAAGTCTATCTATCTATCTATCTAGCTAGCTATCCATCTATCTACGTATCTATCCATCCAGATGTTAGTCAGTCATAAACCGTTGCAGTCTGGGGGTTTAGGGTCAGGGGTTTCTGAAGCCTAGGGCTTCAATTGGGGCTTAAGGATTTGGAGTCTCAGGGGTCCGCATACGGAGACATGTCTTCAGTAGCGCTCGAACCAAATGACTCCGAAAAACCTGAGGCCCTAATATTAGGGGTTTAGGGGTTAAGGGTTAGTGGTTTAGGGCCTAGGGTTTAGGGATTTAGGATACCTCTTGAGTTTAAGGGGTGGGCCCAGAAACCTGGAAGGTTTCCGAAGCCCTTGAGCCACTAGATGCCCGAAAGCTCCAGCTTCTCTCAAGAAAATTCACCCTCTCAGGGATCCCCTCGGCAGTCCTCGCACTGCTTCGCTTGCGAGCCTCCTGCAGCGGGACCGGGGCCCTAGGGAAAAGCGACGGTCACTGTGCAGATTTGGAGTTTACGGAGTGGTCCGGTGGCAGGTGAATAGATCTTTGTCAGTCGCGGGAATGTATGAAAGGCGCACAAGGCATGTTCAAAGGATGAAGAATCAAGTATCAGGTGGCCACTGCGTGGACGGCAGTGTTGCTATCAGTCTTCACGCAATCAAAGTCCCGTAACTTCCCTGCTATGTTGGCTCACCGTTACAATGCAGCAGGCAAAAGTTTTGCCCAATTTCACGGAAACAAGAAACAAGACCCGTCAGCGGAGGACATCGGCGCCGTTGGCGAAACCCTTGTAGCCGCGAACTTGTTCGTATAAGCTCCGAAATGTCCACAACGAGTGACCTAGCGAGCGCGATGCAACCCCTCAGACCGTACACTAGAGTCTTCGCGTCACCGATTCCAGGGTTCGAGATCTATGGGCATTCGGGAGTTTGGGTTTAATTAGGTGTTTTTGCTTTTGGGGATGCTGCAGGAAGCCCGTTTCGGATCTTCGCCTCGCTCGAATGGCCGCAGATGTGTCGCGAAGCTGCAGATGTTTGCCGTGTTTTTTTAGGGTTTTTGGGCCCAGGATCCTATAAGGTACCCATAGGCCCTAAAGTAGTTCCTTTTTGGAGTTCATATATAGAATCCTATAAGGTAATCCCAAAAAGGAACTACTGTGGGGCCTAGAATGTACACTCCACTTACCGTAAGGGCCTGAACCGTCAGTTGGCGTTCGCGGTCGCATGTCTGGGGTTTTTCCCTTGGGGTTCTTAGGATTGAAACGGGTTTCGGGCTTGCAGGGCTCTGCGAAGCTGCCTACATGAGAGAGCGGATATCGTTAGTGCGGCAACTGCTGCTCATGGCAACTTTCTGAGTAGCCGATGCAGCTTAATACGGCAGGCGTCTGTACTCTTATAACTCTAATTAATTACTGAAGTCATGGATAGCACTCACCCCTTACCGGAAAAGACCAGTGTGATACCCAAGACCCTTAGTTGACCACCGTGCGAGCCTAAACATTCCCATGTCCACAAAGGCCTTAGAGACCTCGGCATTACAGCCCGTATACTTCAGAGGCCATGTGCTCCACTTTCCCTTTTAGCCCTGAGCCCTGCAGGACAGAGGTGACTGAACACCGACCTCAACACCTTGCAAAGAGCCGCAACAGAAATCTAGCAGGAACCCTAACCTGGACCGTAAACCGCAAGCCAAATAATGTAGGGGCCTAAACTTTTACTTGTAATACTTTAAAGGATTCCTTAGTAGAATTATAGTATATAATGGGCCCCTAAAACCCGATTCTAATTATTAAGGCCCTTGTATTACATCCATAGAGGATGGAGGAGCACGCCTTCGATCCGGTACGTGCCGTGGCGGCGCTGTCACCTTCCTCGCAGCTTTGCCTCCATCATGGTGCTCTAACTTGCGCATAGTCATAGTTTTCGTAATTTGAGGGGGTGCGCGCGCGTGCGTGTGTGTGTGTGTGTTGGTGTTGGGGGTGGGGGTGTGGATTAGGATACAAAACTTTAAATAACGCTGCCTGTCAGCGTTGCATGACACAGGTGTTGCTTGAAATATGCCTTGCAGGAATATAAACACGAATGCACGCGAATAGATTGTAATACATGCTGAAATCAAGTTAGAAATATAGACAGAATCATGTGCAAACACCAACATAAGCATACGCATAAAATTTATGTAGGGTGCTGCTGGTGTGTTTGGCAATATATGTGAGTGAGCCATTGGTACCAGGTGGGGTAACTCGGGTCGTACTCGGGCCGGTGGGGTTCATTCTACCATGGCACTGCGGCGAGGTTTGGGCTGAGCTCAGGCGTCACAGGCCAAGGACGAATTGAACAGGCTGAGTGCTACGTAGATCTCAAATCCAGGCACAGCCTTTTTTCAAGAGCCGGGATCGGGAGTTCTACAGTAACCAAACTAAACGGACTCCGATTGAAATCAAGTGCTGGCGTCTGACATCGTGTGAAACTCTCATTCCCAGCACTCTACCAACATCTCCGAAAGCCCCGAAGAAAGATGTTCCCCAGCCAGAAACTCTAAACGCCCCAAGCCCTTCTCCCTATACCCACCCTCTGATTGCCAAGAATCCTTTGCCCTANNTCTACGGGTCTTGGGCAGCGGTTTCATCGGCACGGTTTTCCTCGAGGAGGAAACGACAAAGTTGCATTCAATAAAAGTTTCTGGGTTCATGTAGATCTTGGTGTCTGCGGATGTTTGTGTTGGTCAAGCCACATTGGATCATGGCTCCCCTGAGGGCTTTTCCCTACTTGAAGGGCACCTGCCCGAGAGACCCTGAGAAATCAACCGGTAAAGCTCTGAAGCAGTATACCTGAAGGGGCACGCCACTCTAGGCCCATAGGTATGCCATCCAGCTAAACGTCGCAAAAACCTCCGGCAACTATGGCTCCCCCTGCCAAATCCCTGAAAGAGAGCCCCAATTTAGAGCTGCAGTTGCAATACCCTTACTAAAAGCCTGACTTTAGATAAGTACCCATTCTAGTTGCCGGGAGGTCTGCAGTGAAGAAGCGTTGTAGTTTTTGCGTAAAAGGGGGGGTGGTCCTGGTTTGGAGCGTTCATTCCTCGGTGTAGCGATTCAGGATATGGTGCTTTCGGTGGGAGGGCTTTCGAGGTGCAGGGCTGAGAGTTTTCACTGTGGTGTGTCGTGTGCATGTGCTTTACGCCATGCGCTCGTTCTTAGCTACAAGTCCCGTGGCACTCGACGCCTTGACGCAACGGATGTAACTTGAAGGGGGTGTCTCGCTTTGTTAAAATGTTCGTCATGACTGAAGGTTAATATAGGGGCCTAAAAAAAAATCACCATTACTATTTTGGGGGGCTCCTTTTTACAATTACATGCAGCAGAATGGACGCCGAAACCCTATTCTAATTATTAAGGCCCCAGGTACCTACTATATGGGGTACTAGAGCCCCTAGTGCCCTATATAGTAGGTACCTGGGGGTTTAGGGATTACTAAGGCCCCTACATTCGTCTGCGGAGGGTGCAGGGCTGCTGTTGCCTGCTCGAGGAGACAGGCGAAGTCGCCAAAGTCATGCTCGACGACTTTGCCAAAAAGGAGCATCTTTGGTACAAAAGTAGTTCCTTTTTGGGGCTCATATATAGAATCCTATAAGGTAACCCCAAAAAGGAACTACTATGGGGCCTAATTATGGGTAGGGCCTAATTAGGGTTGCTACTCTGAAGCCTCGGGATGCTCCGAACTTTGACGGGTTCCGGCTTGCGGCAAGTCTGGAAACGTTCGCGCCTACATGTTTGATGCTGCAGAAAGCAAATCGCATGCACGCATGCATCTTTGTCTAAGGCAACCGGGTCCTTGTTGGATGCCAGTTTGCATTTTTGTTGCATAACAAAACCGAAGAAGGATTAAAGATGATAGTTTTAATGCAGCCCTCACAGGGAAACAGACAAGGTACGACCTCTGCCGGGCATTCGCCTCTGCGAAGCTGGCACCATCCCCGATTTCTCTGGATGGCCCTTGCTGCGTTCCTGGGGGTGAGCTTTACTGTGTCCTGGCTTTTGTGGAATGAAGGGTTTCCAATTTGGGTCGGCCAAAAACTTTCGATTGATAAGTGGCAGTTGGTATGAAGCCTGCAACAACAGTTAGTGGTACGATTTCTTGGGGCCGCCCCTCATATAACTAAAGAGCATACAGCACCAGAAAAGCGGCTTAATGATTCAGACCTCTATGAATTATAGATCCTAGCTGAGATCTGTTGATTAGTGTTGACATGGCTTCGGGATCATGGCTGTTCACTGCTGCTGGGGCATAGGAAAGCCTTGAAGGTGCCGATTGCCGCAAAACGAGGTCCCTGGATTGGTGCCATTCCACCTTGGCCTCTAAAGCGTTAAAGAGTTTGGTTTGCAACAGAGAAACTGAGTTGTGGGATTCGGAGGTGTGATATTGCTAGCTTTCAGGCTTAATGCGGTTTAGGCCGAGGCGGTTTGGGAGTAAGATGTGCGCACTTCATCCGTCGTAGTCTTAGTCTTATACAAACAGCGAGCCGCGAGTGTTCGCGACTTCTCAAATACCTGCAAACCAGACAGTTGGATATTTCCCGAACTCTGCCTAGCAATGCCTGCATCCTTTACGTTCCAGTTCAAGGTGATCCTCAGTAATTACATTCATACCTCTATTCCTACGTAGGTTCAGACCCAGCTCGGAAACCTCATGCCCTGCCGCTCTCATCAACTTGGCTTCCAAAGGCTCATGATTCTCACACGGGAAGCCTTTATTGCGCAAGCGAATCCGAAGTCCTGACAACCTGCGCCCGCCAACCCCAAACCTTCATGAGATATTCCTGTCGTTTGTTGTGGGGGTCGTCGCGGCCCGGCGGCAGCCATGCAGGCATCCGGATGGAGCGCATCACAAACACACTCCACGGTGTTCTTTGCGTGACCTGGCTGAGGGGTTCAATCTGTTCCTCTAGAATTCCGAAGTTTCCCTAAACCCCCAGGTACCTACTATATAGGGCACTAGGGGCTCTAGTACTACCCCATATAGTAGGTACCTGGGGGTTTAGGGTTTGTTGTTGGAAGGGTGGGGTGGGGAGTGAAAAGCCCGGAGCCAAAAAGACCTCTGCCCCAAGCCGTTCCAAAACACCTAAGCCCCATGTTCGGTTTGGCTCCAGCAGGACCAAGAGAAACTCTGGAGAAGCTCATGCCACCCAGGTCTCATGATTCTCAAACGCGAAACTTCTGAGCCCTCGCTAGCCGTTCTCCCCATATACTATAAATACCAAACCACTGCAAATCCCTGAGGCCTAAACCCTGTATTTCTACCAGGAACCTCGCCTAGGCAACTCCGAGAGTGAATGCTGAAACCCCGTAGCTTTGCTCTTCAGCAGCAAAGCCCTAGAGACCCCGACGAGCCCTGACAGGCCAAAGGCTGTCGCGGACTTCGACATGGCTTATCACCTCCGGATGCTGCTGTGGCGAAAGGGTGCCTCGGTAGCCATCGGGCTTGAAGCTTACCCATAGGCCCCAGGGCAGTTCCTTTTGGGGATTACCTTATATAGGATTCTATTGATGAGCCCCAAAAAGGAACTACTATGGGGCCTATGGGTACAGTTGAGGGCTTTTTCCCCACTTTTCCAGCGGGTTTCATGGGTGTGTGTGTGTGTGTGTGTGTTCATGGTCAGCCTCTGGAGCCTCTGTCGATCTTCAGCCGGGTCCTGGGGGTTTAGGGTTTTGGGTTTTGGGGCTTTGGGTTTAGGGTTTTGGGTTTTGGGTTTAGGGTTTTGGTGATTATGGGGACAGCAGGGTTGACAGCTGCAGCTTGCTGGAACCAACACATGCTTCTGATCAGTGAGTCACAAAGCCTTTTGACTTTAAGCCGTCGCCCGAAACATACTGACAGCAGACCCAAATCCACACCTAAAGCACAACCAAAATGAAACCTAGCACGTCATGCCATGTTTTGGTGCGCGGAGATAGCAGCTTTGCATCAACTCCCTTGTGCTATGCAATGTGCCACCGCAGTCCTTCCTCTGTCAGGGACGCCTCGACCCTACACCCGACAACGCTGCCAAGAAGGAACCAACCCAAGCGAATCCGAGAATCCCAGCATGCAGACTAAGCCTTGAACCACTATCAGCCCCAAAGCTAAAGGCCTAAACCCTTAAACCATCCAGAACCCTGTCCCCTGTACCCCGCAAGCCCTGGGCTCCTAAAAAGTCCTAGCCAGGATCGGCTCGGCCATGGTGCGAGCCTTTCAAGACCTCTTCGATGCAGGGCTGGTTCACGGCCGCTTTGCCTCCTGTAATGGCTTACGACGAGTCGGGGTTTCAGGTTTCAAGTGCTTTAGGCAGGAGTACTTGTCGGCGGCTGAGGAGAGGATGGGCGCATTGCAAAGGTGGAGAGTTTGTGCGCCCGGTCAAACAGTTTTTGCAGTGGCTTGTTCTTAGGGTGCTTGTAAAGTGAGACGACCACAGGTTAGAGAGCTAAACGTACACAGAGGCCCGCAATGTGAAGTAAAGGAGGCACACGACGGCTTTCAGCAGGTATGGTACGTCGACCCCCGTCCTCAAGGATGGGTTTAGGATGTATAGGGTTCAGGGTTTAGTTTAAGATGTAGGGTTCAAAGTTTAGAGTTTTGCGGCAGATCGGACCCCAAACTCGATTCAGCGGACAGGGCTGCAAGCATGCAGGGTGGCGGCAGCTGGGATGCTCTATCAACTTAGCGATTCCCAAACTCGTTGAAGAGTGTATGAGAGGTCAACAGCCAAAAGGTCCCGTTCATGGTTCCCAAAGCGACCCTGAACCCTATTGAACGATTCAAAACCTGATAGAAATCTCTAGTGGGAACATTATGCAACTCTGCCAGTGTGTCTCCCCTGTAGACCTGTCATGCACGATATCTCTGGGGCTCCTTTCGATAACCTCTGAATCCCAAGTTTTTATTCCAAGAAATCGCAGTGAAGATCGCCTTTGCAAAGGTGACCTGCACTTAAACAATGCTGGCCTGCATCTTTGCTGCATGTGCAGCTGTATTCTGCAGCCCGCGAATTCTGTAGCCGCATTCGCCGGTGTTACGGAGCGCCCCAAACTGTTCAGACACTTCAGCGTTGATGCCTATAGGGGCCTAGGGGCTTGGGACCGGCAACGTTAGATGGTTTCACAAATACGTTTCGGACCTACGTGTCCTGTTCACGATCTGTCCAGGTATCCCACGGTCGGCTGTTTATGCTCCCTGTCCCTGGAGCTCTTGCACTTCTCTCTCAGGTCATGGGGTTTTGGGAGCTTACCTGTCAATGAAAGAACTGTCGCACCCCGAACCCTCAACCTCCAATAGCATGCCTCAGGATTGACAGTCAGAATGTAAGACTTCCGAACACCAGACTAGCTAGTCAGCCTCCGACACACTCTGGAATGTAACATGAGTCCAAGTCCTGCAGGCTTCGCCGGGTGTGAGCATCAAACAAGCATATTTCCACCAATCTGCGTTCGCCTTTGGCTGCTCTTGTCTTACTGTTCGCTACTGTTGCTCTCAGATCTCCGTGTCGAGTCTGTTGCGTGTTTGCTCTGACTGCACAGGCACATAGTGGGGCTGTGCCCCAACCTTGGCATGAGTAGTGCGAGAATACTAATTGCAGTCTGGATTGTGACGGTGGCATTGGCCAATATGATTGGTGTCGATGATCCTTTTCCGCTGTAATCATGTTCTGGAGGGGGGTTTATCGGACTTTGCAAGCTCCATAGCTTTTATAGTTACCTATAGTCTCCATTGTAGTTTCTTTTTTTGGTTTAACCAATCTTATATTACGGATCCTAAAAGGTAGCCCCAAAAAGGAACTACAATGGAGACTATAGGTAGACCCTGGATCCGGGACTACTGGACGTGTGACCTTGATGACCTCGACTCAGAATGCTAGACAACTACCTTATATCGATGCGGTTGTATGTGATTCTGATGGGTCTCGCAACTATGTGCAAGTACTGCACCCTGACCCCTAAACCCTGAACCCTACCTGAAGCTTGACTACATAATTACAGTTGAACCAGGAAGGACGTGGAGTCGAAGCCGGCAGCGCCTCGGGCTGCAGCGAGTTTTCCGCCCAAAGGTGGCAGCACTACAGCTGAGGGCATGCTTGAAACTTGAACATCGACTCTTCAGCCCTAGAGCGTCAACCAACGACCCAGGTCCAGCTGATCGACTTCGGGCGCTCTGCCAGCAAGGCCGGTCGAATCGCTGGTGATCTGCGGATTTGGGGTTGAACGCATGAGTGCAGACTGATGCGGGCGTGATCCCAAAGCTGGTGGTGTTCGGTTTGCACATGTGTGCAGTCTCAAGTCCTCTGTGCTGGAGATAGCTTTCGTGGCTTTGGATTCAGTCTGGAAGAATTGATGACGGCAGGCCGCATGTACAGGGAAGCCTTGCAACGAAGCCTTCCGTGCCGGCCATGCATCCTGGCTTATTTGAGCTGGGCACGACATCGCCTCTCAGCACGGACCTACTGCTTGTGGCCTGAACCGACAGTATATTCGGCTAAGTGACACCGTGCGCAGGCACAAAACCAGGTGAGCCGTAAAGTTACGGGTGCCCGCGTTAAATTTCTGATCGGCACGAAGTGCTGAACTAGGTATCCTGCGGTACAGGTCTTTGCGGACATGGGATGAGCTTCATGTCGGTGATTGCTTTTCGCATTTCCCATTTTACCAAGCAGTAGATTCACTCAGCCGACTCAAGGCCACATGCCTCGCCTGTGCGAGCGCCGAACCGTCACTTAGGTATCTGAACTCTCACACCTCAACCAAAGCTAAGCATGATTTTGGTGCTGTAGGCTTGCATTGCGACGAGGCTTGGGGGTGGAGGTTGGGAAAGGCGGGTGGTGGAAAGAGCAATAAGCCGAGCGCCGGGGAAATGCCCGACAAATCGACAGCAATAGGAGTCACCACGAATCAGGATTCAGTGCCGTCGGAGTCGGCTCCGAGCATGCGGGCATCATGGTGTTACCCTTTCCTACACCCCGCAACCCCGACAAAAGCATTCAACAACGGGCGTTATGATTATTCAAAATAGCCCTGAAGCTGCTGAGGAGTACGATGTGTGTCGATTTGTGATGGAGCTTTGCCAAGCCTTCGATGAGCGACTTCGCTGCACTGCGCTTCAGAGGGTCCCTAAACCCTAAACCCTAAACCCTAAACCCTAAACCCTAAACCCTAAAACCCTAAACCCTAAACCCGATGGTCTTGAAGGTCCGGCTTCCAGCGTGTAAGGACTCAGCTCAGGCCTTCAGGAAAGTAGGGTTCCTGGTTTAGGGTTGAGGGTTTAGGGTTTAGGGTTTAGGGTTTGGGGCTTTAAGGGCACTACCTATAGTCTCCATTGTAGTTCCTTTTTGGGATACGTTATAGAGTCCTTAGTATATAATTGGTTAAACCAAAAAAAGGAACTACAATGGAGACTATAGGTAGGGTTCGGGTTTTTTGCGGGGCGGTCTAAGGCGTTTTGGAGTTTAGCAAGCAGGCCTTAGGGCTGCGTTCATAGCCCCAGCAGCTGCTTGTGAAGTAAAAGCGCGGTAGGGGGCTGTATGTAGGAGTTCTGCAAGGGTCGTACTGCTGGATCGGCTTGGGTCCCAAAGGCCTTTGAGAGGGGCCATTTATCAAAGAAGCCGCATATTGGTCTTGGAGGCCATGTTTCACGCTTGCGTCGGCACCGAGGCTGCAGTACGAGTTTGAAGAGACCATCCAGGACGGAGGGTGCTGGATTCGGATACAAAGCTGAAGTCTCAATCCTGCCGAACTTTGGGTTCCGGATGTAGGTAGGATCTTTAAGACTTCAAGGTAGAGGGCCTATTGGTTTCTCAGCCCTTGTCAGGAAGATGCACCTTACACACCGCAAGCTTATCAAAGGAGCTAATTGTACCCTTCGTATCGTTATCCACGGACCATCAAGGCCGTAGTCTTGCTAAGCAACCCTCAACAAAGCTCTAAACCCTATAACTCTGTAAACCCTGAACCCTGAAACCTACTGCACACATGGATCCTCGCCTGGCTCGTCCGAGTTGTGAGAATGCAAACCCTGAGCCCTAGCTCTAAAACAAAACCTTAGACACTAAACTGTAAACCCTAACTCTAAGCCCTGAACCCTAGCTCTGAACCCTAAAAAACCCTGCAAGTTCTGAAGCCTATAACCCAAAAAACTCAACATTGCAGGCCCTGAAGCCTCCATTCTTCGAGCTTCGGAGCTCCAGGACCCTAAACCCTAAACCCTAAACCCTAAACCCTAAACCCAGGAGTGTCAGAAAGAACTCCGAGAGCTCAAGCGGACGAAAGAGGCGACCTCCCCCGTGGCGGCGTCCTGGCCGCCACCAGAAAATTGCGGGTATTTTTAGGGTTTACGGTTCAGGGTTTTTTTTTAAGTTTAGGGCTTAGAAGGATTTAGGGTTTATACGTTCAGGGTTCAGGGTTTACCTAAGGTCTCTATTGCATTCCGTTTTTTGGGCTGACTTTTTCTTATGACTATACTAGTCCCAAAGAATAAGTTTGGTTTACCAAAAACGGTACTACGATGCAGACCATCGGCATGGTCTGCGAAAGCCTAGGCTTGAAGGATCCTTTAGGGGTGTGGCAGGGACATTAAAATAGGGTTGGGGGTATTCTATACTATCACTACAATAAGGAACCCCCAAAACCCTATTCTGATTATTAAGGCCCCTACATTATGTCCTAGCAACCCGAGAGGCCAAAACAAGCATGGTGTATTGCTTTGTAGGGTTTCATATGCATTGTTTTGGCTTTAGAACCGAGTATGGAGCTTGAGTGAAAACAATAGCTGTGAAAGGGTTTTCCATCGGGTGTGTTGAGGCTTTAATTTTCGACACTAGGGTTGATGTGTCAAGACTCGAGTCAAGACTATGATCATACTATATTCGGGCGTTCCCACATAATCATGATGCGCTGTTCGTTGAGCTTGAGGTTTGGAGTGTCGAAGCCTCGTGGGTTCAGAGGTTGGCCCGTACTCATGCTCAATATTTACGACGATTCACTTGCAGTTTAGCAGCGTGCCTTGAGAACGTGATCACTCGAATCTGTTCCAGACCCAATGCGTTGCGAAACTCCGCGAGAGGCCCACGTTCATGCTTAGGGTGCTGGGCGTGCAGCTATTTCGTCGCATGTATACGAGCGACGCTCTCCCTAAAAGAATACACAGACACACGCACAGAGCCAGAGGGAGGTGTGTGTGCGTGTGTGTGTGTCTATATATACACACACACGGCTCCCGCAGCCCTGAAGTCATCCAACCAAAAAGTCCCAAACACCCAACCCCCATAAACCCTAACCCGAAAGTTCGAGAGCGCTAAACCCTAAACCCTAAACCCTAAACCCCATAAACCCTAACCCGAAAGTTCGAGAGCGCTAAACCCTAAACCCTAAACCCTAAACCACATAAACCCTAACCCGAAAGTTCGAGAGCGCTCTGGAAAGAAGGACTGGGAACTGCACGTGGCCCGGCAGATCGCCGGGTTGCAGGCCTTTCTGGAAGAGGAGCCGAAGGCTCGATCATGCGGTTTAGATTCAGAGTTTGACAAGAGGGGTTCTACATATATATATATATATAGAG